AGTTCACTAAAGATTCACTCCTCCCGTGACATGCAGGTCATCCCCTCCCAAGCCCAGATTAGTCTTTTTTTTTTTTTTAAAGATTTTATTTATTTATTCGTGAGAAACACACAGAGAGAGGCAGACACAGGCAGAGGGAGAAGCATGCTCTCTGCAGGGAGCCTGATGTGGGACTGGATCCTGGGACTCCAAGATCACGACCTGAGCCAAAGGCAGATGCTCAACCACCGAGCCACCCAGGCATCCCCCGAGATTAACTCTTCTATGTGCTTGATGCTAGCCCCTCTTATCATTACTCTTCTAATGTGTTTTATTCTTAGAAACATAAAACCATTGAGTTTTAGAACTGGGATGAATCTCTGAGATCCTTCTACTCCCTGCCTCCTGCGTGATTAGCGTAGCAAAAACCTCTTTACCAAGAGTGCTCCTAAGTTGCTTGTGGATCTTTGCACGAAGCTCAAACCAGTCCTCTCCTGAGAAATCTAGGAAAATGATGAAGTGTTCCATCGTTTCACAAAAACCTGGCTCAGAAGAAAATAATCTCTGTATGTAAGCATTGCAGCTGAAGAAAAATTGAAGCCATAAAACAAAATGTTCCTAGCAAGTGTAATTGAATTTCAGATTCAGCTACTATATATTTTAAATAGCTAGCTTTCCACTATTAAAGGTAGCCTATTCAAAAACATTCACATATGATTTTATAGGGATGATATATTCTAGGCAAGTAAGATTAAATCATTGATAGAGAATGGTATCTTTTTTCATTTAAAAAAAAACCCTGCAATTTCTAGCAGTGTTCGCAAACCAGTGTCAGGAATAAGCTTAAGGGAGCATTGGAGGAATTTGTGTTACTAAGGGTCCATTCACAAACTTTGCTTGTCTGTACTCAAAAGGGGCTTTGGCCATTTCCTCTGGGGACATTATTTCTAGGTAAGCTCTAACAGGGTTTTCTTGTAAGACAGATTCTTAACAGAAAAATAGAATCTGTGTACATTAGGTGGTTAAAGACACATTTATCTTTGAAATAGTATGCTCCTGTTTGTGGATTTCTCTGCTGCATTTGACAAAATAAATAATGTTCATTCCCTTTCAATCCTGTAACTGCTTGGGACACGGTTTCACTCAGGAGCTATTTTACCTTCCTATCTAGACTGAACGCTCAATGTGACAAATAGGGAAGATTCCAAGAGTCTTCGAATACCAAACTGTGGAGGCATTATAAATACTTCTTTTCCATTGTTGGTGACTTATTCTTACAGACTGAAGCATGTCCAATTTGAGTTGTTTTTCTCAGTAGTATTGAGACTTTTGTTTTCTAGGAAATATCAGTTGCTAGTAAGTGTTGTGTCCAATCTGTAGGAGACTGCCTCAGAACTTGTTGTAGAATCATGACAGGTTCAGATCGAAAGGCCGAGAGCCGAAAACCATGCGTTATTTTCATCTTCTATATGAGAGGTGAAGTGTGACTATCTCTGGCTCAACAGAAACAACTCTCAGATAGGAGTCTGACACTGAAAACCCAACTAAGCCCAACTTTCTGGCTGTCTCCTCAGCCTTAGCCCCAAACACAGTTCATATCTGATCTACTACTTGGTGTATTTCGTCACACAGGCCAGCACTGATCATACTAATTGTCCTCTACATTACTGAATGTCAAAGATGCTCCTGTCTGCTCCTTGCAGGCCACATCTGCCTTTCTTGGTTTATACAGAGCCTGACATAAGTGGGCCATTCGTAAATGCTTTTTGATGAGAGCAGTGATGGTCTTAGTCAGTGTGGTTGGGTCCTCCCTTATGGAGGAGGAAAACCGAGGATCGTTGCTAAGCAGCCTGTTAGGACTGGGTCACTTCTGACCCTGAATGACCTCCATGTGCACACTTCCTCATGTCATGTGTTTCATCCATTTATACCGTAGGATGACTTTGCTTTTTGGTAGGCTTGCCATGCTCATAGCAAAAGGCTCATAGAGAGCAATATAGGCATGAGAAGGAAGGAGGTGGTATTCATCTCTCACAAATTATCTAGCCCTGAGGAGCCAACGTGACTAATAAAGACTGGCCTCACTCTCTATTAACTGTTGTCAACGAACATGCCCTAATGTATCTATTTCCAGTAGGATGAAAGCTGATTAAGAGGGTGGGTTTTTTTGTTTTGGTTTGTTTTGGTTTGTTTGTTTCTTTGTTTTTATTGCTCCATCTTTAATGCTTTGCCTGGCACATTTTAGATGTCCAAAAAGTATTTATCAAATACATAGTAAACTGGTTTTATTTAAACTGGTACAAACCCAATTGACTCCAAAATCTTCCTAAATATTTTACTGACCAAAAGAACCAAGATGGAGTGTTTGAATGTTACATTTGACTAAGTCTTGTGCATAGTGTAAAGACATCATCTGTCTCTGCCTTTTTTTCAAGATATATTTGCAGTGCTCCAAGTACAGTTTCCTTCTTTGCCAAAATTTAGCTGATCAATGAGAGTGCAGAGACCTGTCTTTTCCAGCTTCTAAGTCTTTATTTAGTGTATGTGCCTGGCTTTTGAAAAGTAAAATTGAGAGGCCACTATGACCAAGCAGGTATGTCTTCAAAAATACATAATTGGTAACTTAACATGATTCACTTGGAGTTCAAAATTGCATTGAGGTTCAATAAGTAAAACACACGAGCTGAGACAATTGATCCAAACATCCCTGGTTACTGTTACTAACATATTGTGTTATGGGAAAACACACATACGCAAACAGGGTTCCCCCAGAACCTCTTCGAAGACAATGCATAGTGCCGTGAGCCAGCAGGCAACGGTACTAAGTTGCACTGTCTTCAGCTGGAAAGGCCCAGTCTTCTGGGCACAGGCGGTGGCATCATGGGGGCTTGGATGCTTGAAGTAAAGCCATATTTGGTGCAAGATGCTCATTTGAAAGGAGAAAGCCTCACAGGAAAGAGAGCCAATTGCATGTGGGGGCTGTTGCCATGGTGCTTTGCTCCTGCTTTAACATGCTGTGCTTGAACTTCTGGGAGTCCAAGGGTGGGGTAACAGAGAGGAGGAAGGAGGAGGGGAGTGGGATGGGCCTGGAGAGCTCACTGCAATAGGACTCTAGTCTTCCATAAGGTTCCTCTTTCCTGTGCTGTCTAAGGCTGACAAGGAAAGGGGGCGGGGGAGGGAGGATGAGGGGAGGCAGAGAGATTGAGAGTCTACAGGAAGGGAATGACTTTCTCAACATGCCCTAGATTGCTAAAATGAAATAAAAATCAGTTTAACTCCTAAATATACCTAACATGAAATAGAAGACGTTTAACACTAAAATTCCAAAACAGCGTGGTCCTTCATAACCCAAATAATTCACCCTTTCGTGATCCTAGATCGAAAGATCAAACGTGTTTAATTCATTTGTCGAATGCAATCTAATATGCATATTAATGAGCCGATGGAGTGGAGAAAACTGCATTCGGCAGATGAAGTACTTTTGAAATGAAATAAGTTCATTCTTTTCCCACTTGTTTCATTGTGAAGGAAGGCTGAGCACACTGGCACGCACTGTCGGTGTGCAAAGAATCCTCCAAAAAGCTAGCTTTAACAAAGCCTTTGTATTCTGAAAGCGTAGTCTGGAGGCAGCCACGGTTCTAACCTGTTCTCAGTTTAAAAAAAAAAAAAAATGTTTGGAAAGTAAATGACTTAAATGCACCATCCCCTTGAAACCTTTAGCGTGACTGCGTCTGTGTGGAGGAAGGTCTGCACAGTGGAGAGAGGGTTAAGAACACCTAGTTGAAATGGGGGAGGGTACCGACTTCAGATTTACTTAAATATTCATGGGGCTTCCTCCATTTTAATCTTCTCGTTTTTTAAAAGATGGCTGTGTTTCCCAGTCTGGCAACCCCTCAGGAAAGAAGAATCGTTCCTTCCTTGCACAGTTCAGCTGAGCAGGACTAATCTAGGATGGAAACCCCTTCGGCCACCAGGACTATTCATAATTCATAAGTGCTGCAAACCAGCCAGCTGAATACATTTAGACAGCTCTTGCTCCTTCGTGCAATTCCTGATTCCATTACTCTCTCTGCCAGGAAAGAAGCAGGGAGCCCAGGCTTCTTGTAAGGATGGAGTGTGAAGATGGGCTTTGTTTGGATTAGGAAATGCCCTAAGAGACTTTGTCTTTTCTAAGTTTTGATTATTTTACCACTGAATCTGCTCGGCTTTCCCGGGTCCTTTTCGGGAGTGCTCTCTCAGAACAGTGAATTGTTGCAAAGGGATTTGTGGATTGTGGCAAGGAGAGCTTTCCAAAATGCCTGAGGCAAACTATTTGTTAACTGTATCTTGGGGTTACATCAAGGTGGGTTAATTTGATTCTGTTATCTGTCTTTGATAGAATGTGAAACATTTACATCTGTATGCTTTCTGTGAAGTAGAAAAACATCTGTAATGATTTAATTTGTGTTGTCCCTTAGCCCACTGAGGCTGTTTATTGTAAAATAAGAGCATGTGGTATTACATCGTATTTAAGTAGACTATGCTGTATTTTAATCCTGTTCTTTTTATGCAGCTCGATTTTTAAAGGATGCTTCTTTTTTTCCCCTTAGTTTTCTCTTCAATTTTTCACATATGATCTCTTCTCAAATAATATTTTAGAGTTAATTGCCAATAAGTGTGTTTTATTTTATTTTTTATTTATTTTATTTTATTTTTATTTTTTTTAATAAGTGTGTTTTAAAAGTCGTTACATTTTCAATGAAATTATCTTGACCTCTATTAAAATTCCTTTTCCTATGTTTGCATCTTCAAGAGAAATAAGATAAGATGTTAATTCTAAGAAATCTTAAGAAAACTTCTTTTCCCCTAAGGTGGCATTGGAATGATTTCGCATTAAGAGAGGTATTTGGTAGAAGAAGTATCATCTATTTAATGGTATCTGCTCCATTTCCAATCTCTTGGTTCTTAGTAAAGTCGAAAACATCTGAAGTGATCATTTGCTAGTTTTAAGGTGATTAATACATTTTTCTTCTCATAAACAGTTCAAAAGAATGCTGAACCGGGAACTGACACACCTCTCAGAGATGAGCCGATCAGGAAACCAGGTTTCTGAATACATTTCAAATACTTTCTTAGGTAAGACATAAACTGGGAAACCTGTCCCATAATTGAGATTTTTCAGTATTAATCTCTGCAATCTGTCAGCGACATCCCTATGTGAGTTTGGAGTGGGGTTAAGTCACAGAAAAAGCCATTTCAAATAAGAACTAAAGACAACATTTAAGGTAAAAAAAAAAAAAAAAGCAGAAAGATGTTTTTTTTTTTTTTTTTTTTTTTAAAGAATCAAAGACAGAAGGTTTTTATAGGCTAATTGTATTTCCGTGTAGCTCAGGTCACCCCTTATCCACCCACCCACTTATATCTTGGCCAAGACCTCCGAATAGGGCGGGGCGGCGGGGGCGGTGGGGGGTCTCCAGTCATCCAAACCTGAGGGACCAGTCTATTGGCTCTTTTGACATGGTATTCTTTAAATTCTTCCAATAACTTGACTTGGAGCAAAAGATTTCCTCTTAGTTGGTTTGTATGAGATACGGTTGGAGAATAATTGTGTGCCAATTTGACCCATGGGAATAAGCTTCGGAAGTAATTTGACTGTTGCTTTGCTAAGTTATTTCTTAAAGATCAACGGGAAGAAAAGAATCTTCACATCTCTGAAAGATTTGGCTTTCTGCAAGCTGCATCATTATTTTCCCAATCTGATGCTTTTATCTATTGTGCTGTGTTGTCACATTGATGGTATTTAACACATGACACTGACAGTAAAGGTTTGCATCAAGGATCCTCAACTACTGTCAGATGTCCTGTTTGATTACTAGGGATTTCTGATCTCATGTTTAAAGCCATTCTACTGTATAGTGAACCTATTTGGATTATATTTTTCTTTAATAGGGCTTGCAGAATATGCAAATCTACTTTAAAGCAAATAGGTAGCATTTTGATTCTGATTCTGTTGACTTTCAAATACTGCTGGATTATGCCTGATTACAGAACTCCATTATGTAGGGAAACAACCCATTCTTACAACTGAACATCACACCTCCCTACATTTTTGGCATAGCAACACATCATTTAATCCATGAACATCTGCCTTGGGGCCTTATAGAAACACACACCTCTTCTGGTTTTATTTTTTAAAAAATCAATCCTATTTCTCCAATACCAAAGCAGTTTTCTGCTGTCAGCCGATCAATCTTTGATCTGCCTAGTGCAGAGCCCATGGCATTACCCTGCAGCAGATGGGCAGTGGCACAATTAACAAGTGCCTTGCCAACTGTTTCCTCTGTGGGTACCTTCCACACCTGGTTTTCTCCGGCGGCAGTTACAAACACCTTTGGGAACAAAGGAGAAGAATTTTCATATGTCCTAGCTCTGAGAAGCAGCTAGGATCTAATTGAACAGAAGGTGTTATATACTGATCTTTTCTTCTCCATCATCCCCCCTTCATCCCTTTGAAGAGAGACATCTTTCGCTGTTCCTTTCAAATGTACTCTGCTCTGTGCAGCACTCAAGTATTTTTCACAAACTGGGAATCTTACACTTTATCAAGGCTAATGATTGTGGGAGAGAAGAAGAAAGTCGATTAGTGCAAGAACTCCTTTTTGTTCTCAAAAGCATTGCATTTTAAAATGCCAGGGCTTGTCTGTCATCTTGGGAGAGACTCTCACAACCAGAGTAAAGCTGCATGAGCCCTTTGTCATCCAAGACTGCACAGAGGCAGCTCTGTACACTTACTAGCTCTCACCAGCAGCTTGCCAAGGACAGCTAGAATAGTTTAGCATATTGATCTTTTTTATTTTTAATCATCATAAGCTATTAAGTGAGAAAGCTGATAAGGTAATAAAGATGACCTCTCAGGGTCAACACTGTATCTCAAAAACAAGTAAATGTCAAATCTTGAATATTTCATTTGCTGTTGGCACATCTCTTGAGGAAACCAATCATTTGGCTTCTCATTGTTCCAAAAATTAAATGATCAAATACAGGTTGTTGGGGAAGGTAATAGAATCTCAATTCTTAGAGACTCAGCATTAGGAGGATGGGGTGTGTGTGTGTGCACAAAGTAGTCCTGATCAGACAGACTAGACAAATTAAATTTTTAAGTATTCTTGGAAAAATATAGGAGAGAAAACATCCCTCATATAAACAAAAGATATGTCAGTTGCCTCATCTGTACAGTGGGAGCACTTGGCATAGGTGACAGAGTTCTTCAAACTCTAACATTTTATGACTCTGATATGAAATGAGTTGATTAGTTTTGCTAAGACATACCTGGCAGTCTGGATTCTCCATAATGTACTGTAGACTTGCAATCTGATAATCCTAAAAAGCAAACAAACAAACACAACTTGCTTCCAAACTGCAAATGTAGGACATGGGATTCTTCTTTTTTTTTTTAAGATTTTATTTATTTATTCATGAGAGACACAGAGAGAGGCAGAGACACAGGCAGAGGGAGAAGTGGGTTCCCTGTAGGGAGCCCGATGCAGGACTTGATACCAGGATCCCAGAATCACTTTGCCGTGAGCCAAAGGCAGACACTCAACCACTAAGCCACCCAGGTGTCCCTAGGACATGGAATTCTTAATCCTGTCTTGTGGGGGTGAATATTCCTGGAGAAGCATGAATAAAGCCTTCTTTATCAACGGTCAGATCCGCAAGGGACCTTAATGGCCTTGCACTCCAATTCTATCATTTTATGGGAGAGAGAATAGGCCCAGAAGGACAACTAACATAATCAAGATTAATTGGCTACTGGTCCCTGAGCCAGAACAAAGGCTTTGCTCTCTTGACTCCCAGACTAAAGTACCCTGTCACTTTAACTAGGAAAGAAGGCTGTCAGGGACTCAGACCCTATAGAAGAAGATTGCACTGGGACTCCTGCTTCTCTCTCTGTGTGTGTGTGTGTGTGTGTGTCTCTGCCTCTCTCTGTGTCTCTCATGAATTAATACATAACATCTTAAAAAGAAAAAAAAAAAGAAAATTGCCTTAAAGGACACTTAAATAATGGGTATATTCTTTTGGAGAAAAGTCTTTAAGAATCGTGATTGTTGGACCTAAAAGCAAAATGTGTTTTTAACATTTTCCAGTAACATAAAAGTATCTTGTCCAGAGTACAGCAACCCTCTCAGTGAGCAGAAAATGGGAAGACCTGAGTGCTTTAAGTTAAAATTAAAGAGCATTATTGCAGTAAGAGCCATTGATTGCTAAAATGTGTCATCCAGGAAGGAGGGAATCCCTTACTCCAAGGATCTGTGAAATTTGTACTGTTTCCATTCAAGAGGATGGTGTTGAGATGGGCAAGTCAAAGGCAGGCAAGAGTCTATTTACCACAGCAGGCATTTACTGATGCTCTGATATGCTAATGAGCTCCAGGTTGCTGGCCCAAGAGGAGATAAAGCAGGACTTGTAGGAAGGGAGCATAGGTAAAGCAGGATAACTAGATATATTATAATTTAGTAAATCTTTTTACAGAGAAAACTCATTCCTGCAAATCCCCTACTACGACTCAAAAGCCAGAGAACGTAGAATTTCAAAGAAGCAAGGAAAAGAATTTAGACATTTTGCGTGATCATATGCCAATGCTCTAATAAAAGTCCTTCAAATTATGCCATTAACAGAGTTTTGATGTGACCGTTTTTTGCATTTTTGTTGTTGTTGATTTGTTTTATGCTCGTCCACTATGTCCCCACTGTATTTTGACCATTTTGCAAATGAATGTAAATTCACCGAGCATTTATGGCAATTCTGTGAGTCTGTGTTTCAGGATATTTCTGCAGTGTAAGGCCTCAGGTTCTAAACAGAGGAGATTCAGACTAGGGAAACCTCTCAGTTGTTCTACTGCCTGCCTGTATAGGGAAACACCCATTAATGTCAAATTGCTCCTGTCTGTGAATAATGGCTTTCTTCTTTATTGTAATGTTCCAGACACAGTAGGGTTCAATTACTGGCTGTTGCAAGGAATCTTTAGTTAACACAGGGAAAGGCTGCTAGTCCCACTAGAGGTTTTCCTATGTGCAGTAGCGTAGGGGAAACTGACAGTCTCTTAGATAACCAGACGTGAGGAATGATGAAGAACGGTGGTCGGGAACTGTGGCCTTTCCTTTTAGCAAAGAGTTATGCTTATTAGGAGTGAGGCGACAGAAAAGTTAATGTCAGAAATAATGTAATATGCATTATTTTTTGCCATTGATCGTGAGACCAGAAAGAAATTCTTAACGGGAACCTCAGGGCCTGGGTTTTATGCTATTAAGTCACTGTGTCTGGAACTGAGTAATTGTAAAATACATATCTGTGGAATAAAATGCCCTTTGAGCTTGGACAAATCACTGACTTCATCTGAAAAGCGAAAGTGTGGGATTATTATTGGTTCCCAAACCTGGCTCTGATCATCAGTGTCATTTAGGAAGCTCTTTAAAAAAAAAAAAAATACTGATTCAGGAGGACCGGATGGGGCTCATCAATCTGTGTTTTTCTCAAGTTCCCTGGGTGTTTCTGATGTTGAAGCAGGTTAGAAACCCCTGAACTAATTGAAATGTCCACTAAAATTCCTCCCTAGGCGAAAGTCATAGACTGATGAGGTGAGGAGCTTATAGGTCCCTAAAGATAGCACAGGGATGCTAGGGATGGAGAATACCTTTGCTCCAGGTGTTGAGACATACTGGGTGCTGCTTCTGTCTCCCTGAGCTTACTTTGCCTTGAGGAGTTGGCCACAGGGCCACAGGGCCCTAAGAGCAGAGGTCTCTGGGGAAAGCATGTGACTGTGCCATCACCTTGCAAGAGTTGAAAGCAAATATTCTAGGCATCAGCATGCCATCTGGAAACATGTCATTTTCAAATGGGGAAGTTGTCTTTGTCCTAATTTCTACTGTAACAAGCAGAGATACAGGTAGGAATTTCTGAGAGCTGCATTAACTCTTTCAGCCACAGGGTGTCATTTAGTTCAATGAAGTAGCTGTTCATGCAGTTCACTAAATGATTGCCTCTGTGCACACTCACAAGCAGCCCTGTGGCCTGAAAGAGTCAATGCATTTTGCAGAAGGACTCAGGATAAAGCCCCCTGTGAAGTAAAATGGGATATTTGGTGGCTAATGCTTTTAATAGCATGATATAGAAGGAAGAACCTCCATGAGAAGGTAGATGTTTTTGTCACGAATTGTAGCTCTGCTATTACCTTGTTGTAGTGGAATTCTTTAAGCGATTAAATGAGATCAGCATAAATATTTAATCAGCATAAATATTTTAATAAATTTAATGCCTGTTACAAGTGAGAGGCATTGTTTATTATTAATTAGTAGAATGAATAAAAATAAAGCATGAAGTAAAGCTGATATACTTTTCCTCTGAACCTCAAATGATGGTAATAAGCCAAGGCTTAACATAATTATATAAAGATCATAAACCATGTATTTCTCTAACTTACATACTGCTCATCTAAATTGAAATGATGTGCTTATTTAAAGTTGTATGTATTTTTTAAATTAAAAAAATTAATACATATGTGAAACTAGTGATGTACTATATGTTGGCTAATTGAATTTAAATTTAAAAAATTAATACAAATCTGATAAAATGAGCAGAACATAAAGCCTGTTTTTATTAATCTGGGTCTGGCTACATGAACCTTTTCTATTATACAAACATAGAAGTTATTTTTTTCATAGAAGTTATTTACTTAAAAAAAACCCTACATATAAATATTGATGCCCTACCTTGAAAATATAGAAGTGTAATTCTAAATTACACTACAGATAGAAGATGGAGGATTGAGTCCTACCTCTGCCACTGCTTGGACAACTTATTTAGCTCCTCTGGCCTCAGTTGGTTGAGCAATAAAATGAAGCCAAAAAAATTCTCCTATTTTCCCCATCAACCTCACAAGATTGTCCTGGAGGTCAAGTGAGATAATGTGGGATAGTCCTTTATAAGACTGTATAATTGTAGGACATTAGAAATTGTTTTGGATATAGCAATGGGTTCTCATTGGCACACAGGGCTGAAAATGTTTCCCCTTGTTGCAGATAAGCAGAATGATGTGGAGATTCCATCTCCCACCCAGAAAGACCGAGAGAAAAAGAAAAAGCAACAACTCATGACACAGATAAGTGGAGTGAAAAAACTAATGCATAGCTCAAGCTTGAACAATACAAGCATTTCACGCTTTGGAGTCAACACAGAAAATGAAGATCATCTGGCCAAGGTATGTCTGAGCTAGGGGCATGTGCATGCAGCTCTCTCTATATAGCAGGTGGCTGCCCAAAACTATCTACTAGAAAATAGTAGTAATCATTTTGCTTTATTATTAAATTGTATGATAAGAAGGCTGGTGTGGCCTCTTTGTCCATTGCTGGACACCTAATTCGAGACCCTTTTCCAACAACAAAGGACCTTTATTTTTTTATTCTGAGTTGGATTTGTAAATGGAAATTCCTCATGAATGAGAATCCTAAGGAAGGCACACTGGGAGAATCCACAGGGTGGCCAGGAGACAGGATTGAATTGTCCCAGGGGACAGATCTAGGACTATATGCCAAGGATTAGTTGGAAAATCAGCACTGATTGGCAGAGCTAAAGAAGAAATGAGAGAGGTTGACAGCACTGACTCAGACCCCAAACCTCGTGAGTGAAGGAAGACACACATCCCCTAGAGGGCTGCATAAGGTGACCACGGAGGTTCTTACAGCCTTGTGACAATAGGAAAGGAGCTTGCTGTGGGCAAACAGACATTCAGTGAGACTTCTGACAGATGGCATTGGAGCAAGATTGATCTTACATTGGGGCAAGCCTCTGGGGAGAGCCTAGATCCCTTATTCTGGGCAAGAATTCAGGATAGAATAAATTACTCCTTTAATCAGATTATCTTGGAATATTCACACAATGGAGGACTGAATTGTTTCTCCGAGGCCTGTCCGTGGCCCAAGAACTCTAAGATGGAATAATTCATGGTTGGCATTCTTCGTGACCTTTTACTAAATTAGGGTTGACTTCCACACATTCTAGCAACTGAGTCTCCCCAACTGGGCCCCTTGCAATGATAGCCAAAGGGCAAGGGAGTTCCCCTGAGATGGTTTTTCAGCCAGTGCTCAGTGAAGAGAAGAGACAGGGAAATGGAACTAGAGGGATCTCTAAGCCACTGACAGCTACCTCTGAATACAACTTGTTGAGGACTGATGTGCAAATACAGGTCAACAAGTCAATCTATATATTAGACACACACTTTCCCTTTTCTGAAGAATATACAGAAACTTATAACTAATATGAAGAGGATGTCCAATCTCATAGGCCATTCTATTTTCAAATTTTCATGCAACTAGACCCAAACAGTCTAAAGAGACACTCCACAGTCTTAGCCAGCCATTGTCCAAAAACTAAATGAAAATAATGAAGCATGCTAACAAAACTGGTCTTATTCCTAAATTCCTCTCATTTCAATTACAGGAGCTGGAAGACCTGAACAAATGGGGCCTTAACATCTTCAATGTGGCTGGATATTCACACAATAGGCCCCTCACATGCATCATGTATGCCATTTTCCAGGTGAGTTAAAAGGAGAGTATTGCTTATTTAATTAGATGGCTCTTTATGATTTTTTTCCATCCCAGTTTACTTTCCTGATTTAACTTTTTCTTCATTTTTGAACATCCACTTATTTATTTTCTACTCCATTTTACTACATAGGAAAGAGACCTCCTAAAGACATTCAAAATCTCATCTGATACATTTGTAACCTACATGATGACTTTAGAAGACCATTACCATTCTGATGTGGCATATCATAACAGCCTACATGCTGCTGATGTAGCCCAGTCAACCCATGTTCTTCTTTCTACGCCAGCATTAGATGTGAGTAGTTATGATCTGTTTTGCATTACCCACCCATCCTCTTTAGAAAAGTGCTATACAACATGTAACATAGTTGCAGAAATAATTGCACATGCTCAAACGGGTTCTTTATTTTGTGTAGCATCTATCCGTTGGTTTACTAATAAAAATGAATGGCATTTCTATTTACTCTGCTTTCAAATATCAGAGTAACCATCTCCTTATATCTCTTAAAATTGAAAAGTTATTTCATTATCAAGCATTTAACAGGGTGTTTTATTTTTTTAAAGATATATTTATTTTAGAGAGAGAGCACATGCTCATGCATGGTGGGGAGGGGCATAGGGAGAGAGCCAATCTCAAGGAGACTCCTCACTGAGCATGTAGCCCTTCGTGGGGCTTGATCTCACGACCTTGACATCATGACCTGATGATGGAAATCATCAGGTCAGACACTTGGAAATCAGGAATCAGACACTTAACCGAATGAGCTATTGGGTGCCCCCAGGGTGCTTTATTTTTCATTGCATCTCCAGTATGTAGTTAAGTATCCAGTTCAGCATCTAGTTTGTAGTTTATCCTCAATATGCATATACTGATCTGAATTGCCCATACCAACCCAAATGCTGTAAGGGATAGCACAGAAGTATAATATAAAATGTCCTACAAAAAAAAAAATGTCCTACATAGTTCCTGTGGGGAATAAGCATTTGTTAGCTTATCCTCCTAAGAATTCATAAAACTGATTCTACAAGTTGAAGAAAAAGTAACTGAATATCTAAAACTGAGGAATTAATGAACAGCATTCCATTTTGCTAGACATCTTGCTAGAAGGCGGCTGTGACTCCTTCCTTAGTAGATTAATGCATTTCCATGCACCAGTGTTAGCAGCAATGTGCCCAGTAGGCCATATTCTTCCTTGACATATGGCAATGGTAGGTACTTCCAAAATGTGTAGGCTCACTGCAGAAGGAGACTTGCCAACCCCCACCAGATTCACAGGTTCAGTTTGGAAGGTGAAGAAAGATTAGACTGACCACTATTCTATTGTTTGTGTTCCATATTTCCTGAGAAAAGAGATCCAAGACGATGGGAAAGTGAAATGGAGCTGAGGCTGTTTTATCCCCTGAAGGAGAGAAACAGTATTATTTGTATGTTCTGTATAAGGATTATAGAGTGGGCCAACACTGTTTATCAACTACCCACTGCTATTGATAGGATGCCTATTGTGTGTCCAGAAATTGACCACGAGGGCTGTACATGCTGAGACAAGAGACTGCTCAACATGTCCTTGAGCAACTAGTCTTCATAGGAGAGGTGGAAACTGAGCTGGCGGTTGAAGGATCAGGAGATTTAAGTAATCACAGAGGATGAGGAAAGACATTTCAGCCAGTGAAAGACCTTTTAGTCAGAAGGAATATATATCTACACAAATATTAGGTTTAAATTATCCTATACAAGTAGGGGGAGAGGAGGCTTCACAACATGGCATGAAGGGGAGCAGAGGGGCATTAGATTTCACTTCTAAGAAATCTTCTCAGATCTGGCCCATAGTAAACATTTAGTGGATAGGAACTGAAGGAATGCTTGAATGAATGAATGAATGAATGAATGAATATATGAAAGCTTCTGGCCACACTACAAATTTAGCTTTGGGAAATAATTTATTGCCAGTCTTCTGAGTTTGGGATTTAGCCTTTCTTCTCTGAGTTACTCAGCCTGAAACCATGTGAAAACATGAATGTTGTTATATCTCAGAGCAGAGCCAGTCCGACTTGCTTTTTTGACTTGTATGCACTCATGTTATATAAGCACCATGCTTCTATACTACTTATCCAATAAATAAACAGGATCCCACCTGATTACTCGTCTTGAGCATGGTGCTAATGCCTTCCTATAAGCTTGATGTGAGCATGGGCTTTTGCCATCATCCCTTTCATGTGAGACCTTATGATGATGGATAGAGTGTACACTGAATTAGTGTATTGAGACATCATATACATCAGCAAACAGTCCTTCTGCCAACAAGAATGGAATGGGATACTTCAATATGAAACTGAATAAGCAGGATAGGCCAATGGGACCTGGAGTTAAATGTGCTCGTTTTGCTCTACAGGCTGTCTTCACTGATTTGGAAATTCTGGCCACCATTTTTGCAGCTGCTATCCATGACGTGGATCACCCTGGAGTCTCCAACCAGTTTCTCATCAACACAAGTGAGTTCACTACCAGAATAGTCATTCGAGATAATTGTGTGATTCATTGCTTCATTTTTCCCCCTAATGTTTTCATTATGGATGATAATAAGGGTAATAATGAGGTAATCCTTCCATTCCACTCAAGCTGGTCAGACCTTTCCTGGATACTGTGTCCAGTCTGGCAACATAATTTCTGAGCTAGCATGGAGAACTTGGAAAGAGTCAGAGGGGAGCCATAAAAAGTACTCAACATTTGGAAAATACAATACGTGAGGAAAGAGTAACAGATGTGGAATTATCCAGTAAGGACAAGGAAAGGCTTGGGGATAACGTGCTAATGATTTTTAGTGTTATGCAGGACTCTCCCATAGAACATGGTGACCCACTAGTGTCCCTCTCTACTGAGGAAGCTGTCCCAAATGTTGGACCTGAGCATGGGAACCTCCAAAAATAAATAAATAAATAAATAAATAAGACTCCAAAGAAAGCACCAGAATGCTTGGTCTGTAGTAGGGAAGATGACCCAGTGACATTTAGCGCTGCTCCAGCCTTAGGATCCCAAACTATACTCAATGCTTTTGTCATGCTGAAAATGATTAGTATCCATGCTAATGAGAATCCATGGAATTTTCTCAGTGCACTATTTCTAAGTGCTAAAAATCTCAGTACATTTTCTTCTGAGAATATTGATTATACAGTTGTGGTCATAATTGACATCAAGTGCTGATGGTTTTATGGAAATGTTTTGAGCCACTTGCTATAAAAGAGTTCAGAATATCTGAATGATCTAGGTATGGGGTAGATTATTTTTTAACCTTGCTCTTCTACTGAAAGAACATAAACTTCAGGCAACTACTTGGCTATTGGATTGTAACAGCTGGTATAGTTTGTGTCACAAATCAATCCATATACCAGCCAGTTAGCTTCACGCAGAAAAATTGTGTTTCTGCTACAGCCACCGACAACACTAGAACATATAAACCCAGTTTGAAGATCTGGGATTAATCACAGGGTCAACAGGCAGGAAGGGTTGAAATAACTTCATATACCCCACCATGTATTCTGAAGATGGAATATGAAGCACACAGTTAAAGCAATGGTATATAAGGGACAGCATCCACAACTAGTCACCTATCACCATCCGTTGGCTATTATTCTTTATTAAGAGAAAATGGTCCTTCTAGAATTTATTGACCATCTTCTCCAATCAGACCAGGGCTTTAACAAAAGATGTCTGTGGTTCTTCTGTGTGATCCAAGGCAGCCTGGAAGCTGTTGTTCAGGTATCCAGATGTTGCAATTTATGACATATAGGGCCAGAGGACAGAAAATCTGACATCAAGATTGTTCTAAAAAATTACTGATGTTTCATTACCATTTTTTAGAAAGCTCCAGAGAGCTGAATTATTTAGATAAAACAAAATTTCACACCCACACTATTATCATCTTTGAAAATCGGAAAGTCGCAATTGACAGAACAGGGGGAACCTATAACAAAAGTGAATCAGTTTGAAAATCCTCATACATATGATAAAGTTTAGTGGCATTTTCCTTTCCACAGCACAAAATGCGTGAAGACATAAACGTAATTACAAACTGAGATAAAAGGAGGATTCAGTTGCTTGGGAATGAGCTTACCTAATGGTCGATTTTTCATCTGAAATGAAGAAGGAGAAAAAGAATTTTAAAATATTGTGAATTTTAGTCAAAGAGAGTTTATGCACCAGTATCTATGACAAGCATGTTTTGCTTAGGAATGGACTACTTCCTCTTGAAGAGGGAAACGGTTTCTCTGATGAGAAATGACATGTGGGTCTTGGTTCCTGACATCATGTGGAGAGAACTAGATCCGATTTCATACTGAAGTAATGCCAACATTGGAATTATATCCCTTTCTTATTAAGTCATCATTTTCCGTGTTTATTAGATTCAGAACTCGCTTTGATGTATAATGATGAATCTGTGTTGGAAAACCATCACCTTGCTGTGGGTTTCAAGCTGCTGCAAGAAGAACACTGTGACATCTTCCAGAATCTCACCAAGAAGCAGCGCCAGACACTCAGGAAAATGGTTATTGACATGGTAAGACTTCCTTTCTACATCCTTCACTTACTGTTCCCTTCCCAGAAGGAGAAATCCCATTCTCTATGATAAACTGAATTTCCTGAGAGTTTCATTTTCTTTTTACCCTAGGTGTTAGCAACTGATATGTCCAAACATATGAGCCTGCTGGCAGACCTGAAGACAATGGTAGAAACAAAGAAAGTTACAAGTTCAGGTGTTCTTCTCCTGGACAACTACACGGATCGTATACAGGTATTTGAAGAATGCCTTTGATTTAACACAAAGCCAAATCAAACTAAACCAAACAACAAGTCAACAATGAAAACAAGCATCAGTTCAGTTAGCCACATATCTGATTATTATTATAACTTGGGCTTATTTTAAGAACAAGCTAAGGAAAATGGACATTCAAGTTTATCCTCTAATTTATGAAGAAAAACATAACCCTATTTATTGAATTGCTTAGTGCTAAAAATAAATGGCAAAATTCATTTGTAATAGGGGATACGTGACTGCTGGTCCCAAAAGCTCGTGTTTGGATATAAATCCCATCGACTTGAAGATTGTTAGGTCTGTTTTGATTATACTAACTGCCATCAGCTGGTCTCTTTCCACAAGTGGAAAATATGAAGACATCTACTTTGAGTAATTCTTTGCATTTTTTCCAAACTGGGGAAGGGAAATGATGGCAGCATTTGACCTCTAATGTTCATTCCAATTTTTACATTCAATGACTGTCAATCTGAGAAGACACACATTTTCCCTTTCAGGATTCGATAATGGTAAATAACCATTCTAGCCAGCACATTTTTTTGTGCACACACCACAATTGTAATGCAACTAAAATGTTCTAGGGTTTGGTACCAAGTGTACTAGTACAAGAGATATGAGATGTTCTGGTAGTATTTACACTATATTTTATGGGATTTCTAAAACTTGGTGATTCCAGGTCCTTCGCAACATGGTACACTGTGCAGACCTGAGCAATCCCACCAAGTCGTTGGAATTGTATCGGCAATGGACAGACCGCATCATGGAAGAGTTTTTCCAGCAGGGAGACAAAGAGCGGGAGAGAGGAATGGAGATTAGCCCAATGTGTGATAAGCACACAGCTTCTGTGGAAAAATCCCAGGTATCTATTATGCCATTTTCAAAGTTTTTGTGAGCTCTGCTGATTGTAGAACTAGAGGGTTCTATCTAATTCCTGAAGTTATAAGGAAGCAACTACCCCTTTAGTTCCATTCTGCTTGTGACTCATTCGCCTTCTCCATTACACTCAATTTCACAGGGTGGAGACAAAGTAGGCCTCAGAAACTCATTGCAGTTTGATCTGTGTCTTCTCAAGCAGTTTAGAAAGTTGTCTATGGCCTTAGCAAATCTAGCTGACTAAACTTAGAGCGGCTGCCTCCTCACTGTCTCTCCAGATTTCTTTTCTCCCTGTCCTCATCCAAGAGCTCTACTCTTCATCCTTGCTTCCTCCGCCCTGTGTCTGTTGTCTCTCCATTATCAAGTGCATGGCCAAATGTGAATCTCATTCCGCATACCTCTTCTACCTCACAGTCAACGCCCCATCCTATGTCCCCGTCCAAGGTTGCTTCTCCACCTCTGAGAACACACTGACATCTTGGGTTGTGTCTGAGAACTGGGGATGCTATGCTGGAGGCAGGGGGATACAGAAATGCCTCAGACACTTCTAGTTGCAGAGTATGTCCCACTAGAGGTATCAATATCCCTACAAAGGCCTCAGGGCATGCTGAAATGTTATTTTTTCAGGGCAACAAATGGCCTGAGCCAGGTGGTCATGATCGATAATGGGTCCAGGTTGAGGAGTGCTTTTTTAATTCGTGTTCATCCTCTTTCCCCGCCACCTCCTACCCCCAAACTTACACATGTTATAATATCAATGCAAAGTTCCTTTGCAGTTATCATTTTGTTGTTTTTTAAAGAAACCCAGTCAAATGAGTTTAAAATCTGTGAAAGTGCTCTAAAAGTCTAATATGCTATAAAAATGCATGCTGACATTCAATTTTCAGGGCCAATTCAAATCCCCTAAAGCCTAAATTTGAACAATTAGTTAGTTAAGTAGAATAATGTCCATTGATTATCAACAGTGATATTTTATATTTATATGGTGTTCTATGTGGTTTTCCATACATTTTCCCATACCTTGTCCTATTTGAACCCCAAAGAGCTTTGTGAAATAGACACAGCAGTTGTTTCCCAGTGCATCAGGTGGAGAAGCTCTCCTCTTGGTTCATTCACCAGCTCCTGGATGACCCAGCTACTCTCCGCCCAGAGCTCTTCACTCTCCATCACTGTGGGCAGGTCTCTCTGTTGCCATGACGTCATGGTCCACTCAGGTGTTTCCCGCAGATGGGCTTTGGCAAGCATTGTCTGAGTTGTCTGGCAATAAAGTCCTTGACTCGGTGCTCTTCGGATTTGTAGAGCTCTCTCATCCCTGGGCCTCACAAATAAGAAACTAGAGGCTCCCTTTCAAAAAAGTGCCGAGCATCTAACAGAAGCAAAACAAATGAAGAAAGGAAATGACAGCACTTTGTTCAGCTGATCCCATTTTCTCCATTGCCTTGAGTTAATTTTTTCAGGTCCCTGAAAACCACCTTGAGAATAGTCTCTAAAATCCATTAAATACACATAAAGAAGGAAAAAAGAGAAAGGAGGGAGTGGGCAGATGCAAGAGAAATATCTGAATCATTTGCAGTCAAGTTCACGTGACCAATGCAGATCACAGAGGTCCCTGACTTTGGTATGAGTTGTGTTAAGATTAGGGAAGCACCAGGGATGAGAAGATAGATGATAGATAGGTTGATAGATAATGATAGATAGATAGATAGATAGATAGATAGATAGATAGATAGATGATAGATAGATAGAGATAGAGATAGAGATAGATATAAAAGAGTCACTTATGAACTTTGATGTGTTAAATGATTTGCCAAAACCCAGAATAGCTGTTTAAGGGCAGGTTTCCAGTCGTATGGAAAGATAGCTATTTCATGTCCCACAGACACATATACGCTGCTCTTGCTCATTTACCCCTGAATCCAGACCCAGTATCTCTCCAGTCCCCCAGACCAGGACAGGGGAATTCCATTCCCTCATTCAACTAGTGCCTATTCTTTTTCACAACCTGCCCCCACCCCCAGTGTTTCCTGTTTGTCCGACAATGGAGAGGTCAGCATAAGGCCACAGAGCCAGCTCATGCAGGATGCATAGCCCCTGTGTAAACCATAACAGAGCCATAAGCCTCGTATTTATTCACAGGAACACTAGCAAAGGAACTGCTTAATTGTTTTTATTTTCCCTCCTTTCTCCTGATGGAAGTGATTATAACCCTGTGGATCTAAGACAATTGCAGACATGTCCACAGAGGGAATATTTGTTTGTTTAGGTGCTTGAAGTATCTTCAGATGTTTTACCAAAGTCTTCTACAAACAAAAGCATTCCGTGGAACTTGAGAAATTTCAGAGTCATCAGGGGCCGTCTCCTCTTCATTTTGGAATGGTGGCATATTTTAAATTAATCAGGGAAGGAATCTTGAGTCAGAACTCATTAGACCTGGAGCTTCCTTCTTTGGAGAATGACTCACAGAATCCAAGTAGAGGCAAAGTCATTCCCAGCCAGGGTTACATCCAGACTTCTTATCTGGCACACAGAAAAGGAAAAGTAGTATGTTCTAGTGAGACAAACACAGGCTTTGGAATCAGACCACTTACCGGCTCTGTGATCTCTGACAAGATATTTTGTCTCAATGAATCTTAGTTTCCTCCTTTGTAGAGTGTGGATAACAATACCTCCTTTGGGGACTTAAGAGTAATAACGTATATATTACATCCAGTGCAGGGTGTACCACAGAGCATATGCTCAAATAGGGGAATCCATCATTACTGATCTCTCTTGGGTTGTTGTGGCTCTTTCTTTGTCTAGAAACCAGGACTGCTTGTTTGGTTTTTTAAGAGCCCATCATAATAATCGACGTGTAACCTTATTTTTTTCCAGGTCGGTTTCATTGACTACATTGTGCACCCACTGTGGGAGACCTGGGCAGATCTGGTACAGCCTGATGCCCAGGACATTCTGGATACATTAGAAGATAACAGGAACTGGTATCAGAGCATGATACCCCAGAGTCCCTCACCACCGCTGGATGAGCAGAACAGAGACTGTCAGGGTCTGATGGAGAAGTTTCAGTTTGAACTAACCCTTGAAGAGGAGGATTCCGAAGGCCCTGACAAAGAGGGAGAGGGTCACAATTATTTCAGCAGCACAAAGACACTTTGTGTGATCGACCCCGAACATAGGGATTCGCTAGGAGAGACTGATGGAGACACTGGGGCGGAGAACAAGACCCCGATCGACACATAATCGCCTTCTCTGTGGGGAGATGAACATTCCACCTTTGACAAGCATGCCAGCTGTATGGTAGGGCCAGCCCATCATGGGGACGTAGGCCTGCGCGGGACAAGGGCCATGTGGCCTTTCCAGTTAACTCGAGTTTGGAGCCAGAATGCAAGACCGTGAAGCAGACAGCAGTTCAGAAAATCCCACGGTTGACTTGCCTTGCTTGCAAGCTTAGTGGATGGAGAGCTGAAGCTTTATCTGGTATTGGAGGCCAAGATCAGATCCTGAGTAAATGGCTTGAAAATGGAAGACACAAAACTGAGAGATTTCTCTGCACTAAGTTTTGGGAATCTGCCCCCTCTCGTGACTGAACTGACTAATAACTTCACTTATAAATCCGCTCACCTGTCCCCTTGTCTGCCAACCTGTGTGCCTTTTTTGTAGAACATTTTCACGTCTTTAAAACACCTGTTGAATACCTAGAGTTTAGTATCAACTTCTACACAGATAAGCATTCAAAGTTGACATAAACTTTTTTGACTCTTTCTGGGGGTGGGGAAAAAAGGAAAGAAAATGGTCTTCCTTCTTTCATGGGCAATATCTTTCACTTTACTACAGTTATTTTGCAAATAGAAAGGATATGCTTCTAACTACATTCTACTTCCTTCCCCTGTTGTCCCATCCAGCTTCACAGGTGCCCGTCTAACAAATCTCTGTCTGCCTGCTTACAGCAGTTTTTCTTCTCCTCTTAGGACTTCACTTTTGTGCTACAAACAGAATAAAAGCGAACAAGCTAAGAGGTGGGAAGGGGTAGTTGTGTCGTTCCCAACAACAGTCTGTAAAATGTAGCTTGATTAGGCAGTGCGCCATGTTGAGTCCTGAAGCCCTGAGCCACTGGGCGCTGCACGGCCCCCCATCCACCCCCCCACCCCCCAGCGTTCTCTACCCAGTGACACACCGGTTTCAATTTGATGCTGCCGTCTTTCTCTTGCACTGCCTTCTGCGCTAACACCTCCGTTTCTGTTTATTATAACAGTCTATTTATTACTTAATGTATATAATGTAATGTTTTGTAAGTTATTAATTTATATATCTAACATTGCCTGCCAATGGTGGTGTTACATTTGTGTAGAAAACTCTGCCTAAGAGTTGCGACTTTTCTTGTAACGTTTTGTATTGTGTATTATATAACCTGGACATCGCTTAAGAAAGACATACGACCCCCTCCCAGGAGGACATTCGTGGGCTTTTATTCAGACGGTCTGCCCCCTTCCCTGTCTGAGTTGCTAATTCTGCACAACTCCTTTGTGAACCAGTTTTGGAAACAGGATTCTCACATTCGATATTAAATGGTTTATACTGAGCTTTTACTTTTGTAGAGTTTGATAGGGGTAGGGGGCAAGGGGATGTAGTTTTTACCCATGTTCTATCCAAATCTGTGTACGCAGGAGTTGGGTTATGACTGGGTTCTACTATAATTGTGGCTTTGGTTTGAACAGCAACACTACATTTGCTCACAGATGGCTCTTCTGAGTGTTCCCAAACTACTGACTTTGAAGCAAAAGCCTCCTGCCTACCATTAAGCAGGAATATCATGTTCTAACTAATTACAAAAAAAAAAAAAAAAAAAAAACACACACAATAAAGCAATGTGAATTTTATAATAAAATGTGAACTGATGTAGTAAATTATGCAAATGTGAAGCTTCTGATAACACTTGTTAGACCTGTAATTGGCTTCAGTCTCCATTTGTAAAATATATTCCACGCTTTCAGTTCAGCATTGTAACTCACTAAAGAAATGGCACAAATGTGCATGACCAATGGGTTTGTATGTCTATGAACACTGCATTATTTCAGGTGAACATTTTATTGTTTTCAAAAGTTTCTCACAATGTATGTTATAGTATTATTATTATATATTGTGCTCAAATGCATTCGTAAGAGACTTTTATATGAAATGAATAAACAGAAGCATGATTAGATTAGACTGTAGGCCCAATTATTTTGTGGTTAGTTCTGACCTATGAAAAGTAGATCTTTTTTTCTCTTCTCTCCTACCATACCACACAAAGGAAACCAATTACTTTGCCTGGCCAACCTCTCAACTGAAGTTTCAGAATCTGTGTCCCAAAAGTCCCCTAGCTTGGAACGTTTCACATGTTCTTAGCAAATATCCACACAGCTCAATGATGCGGGAGGTGGTAAAGGAAAACAAACAAAACCAGTTTAAGAGTCTGAAAAGTTTAATCCACTATAAATCAAGGGAATCTCCAACTTGGCTGAGTCCTCCAGAAAAAATGAATCATAGAATTCCAGAACATTAGCTTCATGGAGTCGGTTCTACTGATTCATTTTACACACAAAGGATCTGAGGTCAAAAGAGTCATCTTCAAGCACCGTTGATAGAGCACTGATTGACTCTCATGGTCTTTTTGATGATTTGTGGACCCCCTTATTGATCATCTGGTTTGATCTGGAAAGAGCTATATAAATATCATAGGCAGAATATTAAAATGTTTTGTTGAAATTTTAAATTTTAAAATCAGCTTTAAAAAATGTTTTCCTAAGAAGTGTGTGTGTGTGTGTGTGTGTGTGTGTGTGCATGTGTGTGTGTGGTGAGGAAAGCCATAAATAAGAACCAATGGATATTTAACCACAGGGAACTGTTTGTAAACTAGTAAGTGGGTCTGCTTTAGAATTCCACTCAATAAACTGAAATTACCTAATTCTTTACAAAGACAGGATGAGCCAACATTGCAGAACCAGTTAGCCTGCTGGTTGCAGAGCTAATGTTTACAGCACTTAGCTACCTTCTCTGATAGAGAAGTGCTTCTTGGATTTTTGGATTCCTGAGCTCTTACAGATTAAGTGACAAAAGTGAATTGGTTAGCAGAGTCACAGGTGTGACTTTCATAATGTCTACAGCTATAAATATTTATGAATATGTGCAGGTATGTTTTCTACAGAGAAATAGTTTTTAATCCTTGTTGCAAATGAGAATCGCCTAGAGAATAAATATTTTCTTAAAAAATATTAATATTTGGGTCATACCCACACTCCTAGATTCTATTTGAATTGGTGCTGGGTAGAGCCCTGGGCACCAAATTTAAAATTCTCCACAGGTAACTCCATGTGCAATTTGAGTGGAGAACTATTTGCTCCTGAAGAAAGAGCCATGCTTGGGACTAAGGCTTTTGTCATTCCTTTAGTCTTGACAAAAGACTGAGCAGCTTAAAAACAACAGGAGTTTATTTCTCACAGTTCCAGAGGCTGAGATCAGTCCAAGATTAAGGAACCAGCATAGTCACATTCTGGTGAAGGTCCACCTCCTGGGTCATAGCTGGTACTTTTTTGCTCTGTCTTCACTTGGTGGAAAGGACTAAAGATCTCTCTGGACCCTTTTATTTTAAGGCACTAATACCATTCATTAAGACCCAACCCTCATGACTTAAGCATCTCCCTAAGGCCTCACTTCCTAATACTGTCATCTTAGGGAGTTAGGATTTCAACAGATGAATTTGGGAGAGGACACATTCAGGCCAAAGCAACTTTCTTTCACTGCAATTGTCTTCAGATATCGTGCACCCACCATGGCCAGGTGCTGGTTCAGGTACAGGGATAAGGCCAGGCATCAGAGATGAGGTAACTCAGAGCTCTATACTCCAGGAGCTTGCAAGCTGCTTGTGTTGCTCACCATCTGCTTTGCAGACCACAAAATCATAATTATGTTCTCAGGAAAACCACAATGAAGATAAGTCTAAAAGAAAGTTAATCATCTGGTTCTAGAACATAGGCTGTAAGTATAACCGTTCTTTTATCTATGATGACACATCAGTGTTCCTAATGGCAAGGAGCTACTGTGGAAGCAGAAATTACTATGGTATCTTTGCCAGGGCTGAGGATACTTTAAAAAATGTGTAGGGGCCTAAGGCTGACTTATAGAGTCAGGCACTATCAGACTTCCACAGACTTATTTTGACATGAGTTGGAAGTCATAGAAAGTCTCAAATTCTCTTTGTTCAGTCCACTGAACAAAGCCTACTGGAGTTCAAGTAAAGAAACATGGTTTATTACATGGATTCTGGAGCCAACTGGCCTGGGTTTAAATCCTATCTCCTCCATTTACTAACCACATGGCCTGAGATAAGTCACCTACTCTCTCGGCTACAGTAAAATGGGGATTATTAATTTGTCAGGTGGAGGTAATAATCCCAGGATTTTTCCAACATTCCATTGCTACTTATCTGAGCCCATGTCTTAGTGATTGATCAAATCCATGATCATGAGCTTTAAAACCTATGAGATCCAGGTGAGGCAGGAAAGCTGGCAAATTCCCTTTATAAACCCACACCTTATGCATCCTGTACCCCTTATGAAGAATTCTCCAAGCTGGTTATCTCTCACATTCCTCAAGATTCAGATAAGATATCCTCCTACAGGAAGCTTCCCTGATCCCCAAGGTTGGGATAAGGACTCTTACTAGAGCTCCCAGAATAGCCTGTGCTTTACCTGTGTAATTAGCTGTGTAACCTTGGGCAAGTCACTTAACTCTCTTGTGCCTCAGCTTTATCATCTGTAAAATAAAGATAATTATAATAATACCTAGATTATAGCAGGTTATGCAAGAATTACATGAGTTGATATACATAAAGTTCTGGGAAATATTATAATTATTAACATCTACTGCTATACGGTGAAGTTTGGTTTCCATCTTTTCCAAAAAACATTGAAGTCAGAAGCTGGATCTTATTTCCTATTGAACTTCCAATGCCCAATCCAATATCTGATACAAATATATATTTGTCAGACTAAATGAATCAAGTGGTTTTGTGCAAGGGTAAAACACAATCTCATGCCTAAAGCTTTTCAAACCAAAAAAGGATGTTGGGAGGGGCACCTGGGTGGCTTAGTCAGTTGTCTCTTTTTTATTTTTTTAAGATTTTATTTATTTATTTATGAGAGACACACAGAGAGAGAGAGGCAGAGACATACGCAGAGGGAGAAGTAGGCTCCATGCAGGGAGCCTGATGCAGGACGCGATCCCAGGACCCGGGGATCATGACCTGAGCCAAAGGAAGACGCTCAACCACTGAGCCATCCAGGTGCCCCCAGTCGTCTGGCTCTTGATTTTTGGCTCAGGTCAAGATCTCAGGATCATGAGATAGAGCCATGTGTGAGGCTCCATGCTCAGTTGGGGGTCTGCTTGAGATTCTCTCTCCCGGGGCACCTGGGTGGCTCAGTGGTTGAGCATCTGCCTTTGGCTCAGATTGTGTTCCCAGGGTCCTGGGATCAAGGTCTGCATTGGGCTCCCCACAGAGAGCCTGCTTCTCCCTCTGCCTATGTCTCTGGCTCTCTCTCTGTGTTTCTCATGAGTAAATAAAATATTTTTAAAAAGAGAGATTATCTCTCTCCTTCTGGACATCTCTCTCTCTCTCCCTCTCTCAAACAAATAAATAAATCTATCTTAAAAAAATAAAAAGTGTTAGTCTCTGAGTCTGGAATGAATAAGCCATATAATTTTAGAACCAAAGATTTCCCAAAGATCATCTAGTCTACCCCATTACTTTTATAAATAAAGGAACTGAGGATCAGAGATGGCCAGTGATTCACCTGAAATCACACAGTATAGTAGTGTAACACAGTATAGTAATGTTGTAGAGCCGCCATAAACAAGTACTGTAAACTGGGGGTGCTTAAACAATGGAAATTTATTGTCTCACAGTTCTGGAGGCTAGAAGTCCAAGATTATGATGGTGTCAGGGTCAGCTCCTTCTGAGGGCTATGAGAATCTGTTCATGCCTCTCCCATCACTTCTGGTAATTTGGGACAATCTTTGACATTCTTGGCTTGTAGATGTAGCACCCTAATCGCTGCCTTCATGTTTACATGGTGTTCTCTGTGTTTGTATACCTGCATCCAAATTTCCCCTTTTTATAAGGACATCAGTCATATTGGGTTAAGGACTCACCCTTCTCCAGTCAGACCTCACTTTAACTAATTACATCTAATTAACTAATTACATCTATTTCCAAATAAAGTCACATCCCGAGGTACTGGAGGTTAGAATGTCAAGATATAAATGTGAGGAAGGATATAATTCAACCGATAATACATAGTTACTCACCAGAAGAGTTCTCAATTGTCAGCATCAGGTGTTTTTTTTGTCAGGATCATGGATGTTAGGAGCTGTAGACACCCATTCAACTTTCCTGTACCTCAAACTTCTCTCTGAAATCAGAGGAAGAGACTGTATTCCTGAAGAGGTACTACCCCATTATAAAAAGTTCAACACTTTATACCAAGACATTTTGTTTTCTTAAGGTCTTTCTGAGTTCTTCAAATATATTAATTATTTAATTATTAAATATTTCATTTCCTAAATGCCACACGGAGAAGAAAAAGCAGAACCTTAGGGAACGAGGAAATACATAGCCCAGAGATTAAAAGCTTAGGCCTTGAAAGTGAACAGATCCCCGTTCAAATCCACTTCCTAGCTGTATAACCTGAGGCAAACATTTAACCTCTTCAAGCCATGTTCCCTCTTTGTTAAAATGAGGAAAATAATAGTAATTCTTAATGAGATTTCTGTAAAGACTAGTGAACAGTGCATAAAAAGTGCCTCAGCATGAGCCATTATACATGGGTATCAGCTAAGGCTTCATTCTTTCCACAAATATTTATAGAGTGCCAATTATGTGCTAGGCACTGTGTGGTGAGCAACACACACAAAGTCCCTGCCTATATGAAGTTTATATTTTCTAGTGGGGGAGAAAGACCCCAAAGAAACGAGAAGATAATTACTACAGTATCTGAGAGTGTGATGTGTGCTTTGGGTTTGGCAAGGGACAGTGGTGTAAGAGAAATGGTTCTGGAGTTCCTCAACTCAGGTTGGAATCCCAGCCTCACTCTTTGCTAATGGTATAAATTGGGGTGTAGCAAATACAAAGTGTGCCTGTCAACTTCAACAAAGAGAAGGAACACCAGG